ATATATATATATATATAAAGTACAACTTTACTTTTTCTTAATTTTTTTTATTAAAAACTTGTTAATTCTACATCTTCAGTTTAATATTGAAAAAATCTTGTTGTATCTTAAGAATTTACATAGAATCTACGGATAAATCATTCAAAATAATGCATTACATATCTTAAGAATTCAATTCGTATTCTTCGCATTTGTGGACATTTTCAACATCATCCACATACTAATTAAGTCTCTGTCATTGATAATTTATTTTCTATAGTAAGTTTATATGTTTTCCAAACAAATACAAATTTATAATCAATTTTTCTAATGAATAAATTTTCATGATAATGGTTGGAGTTGGAGTTATGGCCTGTCATTATGATAGTTTTAAACTGTTGCCGACAATTATTTTTTGACAACATTTTGATACCGGAAAAAAATGTGGATCAGTAGTTCAATACAATCCTATCGGATAATTAGCTTCAACACAGTTCCATTTTAATAAATATTCTAGATTGGTCAATTACCCCAAAATATTATGGAGGGGAATGCACTTGCATGCCGCATGCTAACCAGCCTTTCCTTTGAATCTAACACCAACAATTAAAGCTGAGTTACTAGCATTCACCGTATGAGATGACTTGAAACGAGTTTTTGGATAAAACAATATTTGATTAAGAGATGGGAGTTCAAGGAGCACCTCTGCCGTTTATATCAAGATGCAGACCTAGTGTTACAATAAGAAGATTAGCACAATACAGAATTTGAACACCACTCTTAATAAGACAGAAATCTATCCCTTTTCAAGCTTAGCTTTTTATCAAGCACAGGGCACCGGCTTCTAATTTGGATGAATTCCACCACCTCTTGATCCAGATGAATTGAACAAGTTATTCTTAAACTTGGTCACAAGATGTCTCACATCCTCATATTGCTTACAGGGTGTTACTGTTAATTGTCATGCCGCGGACTTAAGCAAGACTGCCGTATATTAATTATCATTTTGTTATAAATATTGCTTGTGGCATATAAAAAATCAACTCAAGTAGGAATGGGCCGATCTGTACAAACAACAAAGCCCCACAACTGTGGAAGAGAGGTAGATCTATAACATTAAGGACTATATACAACCTAGGATATACAGCTTCACCTTTCTTGACTCAACTTCAGCGTTACTACTTTTGCAGTCAGACGACAACCAAGAAATGGGGAACTAGAAACTGTTGATTAACCAGAGAGCCAATTTAGCAGTCTCCACAAAATGTCAATCCACAGGGCTGATAAAATAGTGACTCCCCAGTTTTTGTAAAATGCCATGGTCAGAAGTCACTATGCTTTCAGTTGTCTTGGCCTGATTCTGCTTTAGAACCTCCGGCACTAAAATCACGTGTAGGTGGAAATTGGGTCGGCTCTGGTACCAGTGTAGCTGTCCCAGTAAAAGCATCTTCAAACTTTTCATTCACATTCTTCTTTATCCTCTTCGGTCTCTTCGGTTTCTGACCCACTGGATCAATATCATCCAATTCGTTGTCCGTAGGCATAGTACTAAATTCACTCATTTTTTGAGAATTCTTTGGCCTGGAAGTTGGCTTATCTGCGGTGGCTTTTCTCTGCAAATAGACATTATGTTACCAAGTTGAACATAACATTCAAAATATACTCGCAATATTTGAACTCTATGCGCATCAGTACACCTAAAAATTCAAATCACTCAAATACTATCACATAAATGATAAAACCATCAAAAATGCAACAGATTTGGATTTTTTTATTGTCACAGAATCATCATGTAAGAGACAGACAAAGTTTTGTTGTGCATGAATGGTCAGCTAGTAATATAAAAAATTAATTGTCACGGTCATTTTCCTGTCAGGGTATCATGATGGGTTAAGGGTTAACTAATAATACAAGTAGAAACCATTTTAGGATAGTTGGCTCATGACAATTGTACATTGGATTGGATAAACGATTCATTCAAATTTAATGCAATACTTATTCTGCTTTAAGAAATCTTCTGTCTTTGCCCAAACACTAAACACCACACAGATACGGGGATATGGGAAATTCTTAATCATTCAAAATATGATGTAACCTAGATATATTGACACAAATTTAAAAATAAAAATACATTTTACATAAATACATTACATTTGCGAAGAGTCATTAATCATTTCTTATCTACACAACTATTTCAATGGATAATGATCACAATGCACCTAAAAAAAACAATAAACAATAAACTTGTGATCATAACAAAAAATCATTACATATCCCTTCACATCACAAGAGTTCCATATTTTTTCCCAACTCAAATCATGGAAGCATCATTTATCTTATTCAAAATAATTCTTGGCTCTATATAATTGTCAACAATTTACTATTGCTTTAAGGATACAAATGAAAAGATAGAGCTGCATTAAAATTATATTAACTATATTCTATTCAAAGCTTCGGAGCAGTATCCAAAATGTTTCAGTCTATAAAATTAAACAAAAAATAGAGGATTATTATTTGGATACATATGTAGGCATATTGTACACATAGTCACATACTGATGGATATGAATATAACACTAGTATTTTGCATTTTTGAAAAGGAGAGGAAAAATCCTCAAGTCAAAGTACCAAGGAGTTATTCACTATTTATTTTAAGTTATCAGTCAACTCAGCTTAAACATGGCAAAGAGAATATACAAAAGCTTGAAAAGGCTTCACAAATGATTTAAAAACTTATGGTTCATAGGCCGTTAATGAAGTTTAGTTGAATGCATCATAGTTTAGCTTTCAGCTTCTTTTAACTGCTTAAACTTTCAGATTCTTGCAAAAGGGAATTACTGGAATCTTCTTTGTTTTAGGACTTCTTTTATAATGGAGAGAAATTTCATAAGAACAGGGGGAAGGTGCCACACAGTAGAGGATGATATATCCTCCAATACATCGGACTCAACAAAGACAAAAAAATAAAATGTAGCAAGGTTGCCCAGTTTCTATGTTTGTCAGAAACAATAACTCCCATGAAACAGCTATTAGCAGAACAACAAAGAAAGGTCAATAATGATTTACTGTAATCCTATGAGGGTAAAGAGACTCAACATTGAAATGTCCCACTTCAACTTCTAAATTTCCTTACTTCTAAATTTCCTTTCACAGCTATTTTTCCTTTACAGAGAAGAGCTTGTTAAAAGAATTAAGAAACACTCATTTTGGGAATTTCAGAACTTCCTACTCCTTTAATAGGAAAGGCCATGGGGAATATTGATGAGTTATATTAAAAAAAATATCGTGGGGGAGGGGAGAAATACTCTTTGGCATGCCATATATACATATTAGCTTTACATGTTTTCTTGAAAATTTCTGACACAATAAACCCTTAATACCCAACCCCACAATTCTCCAAAATCATCTTTTATCATATTTTGATTTGCTAATTGTGGAGCTGTTGTACATCATAGAAGTAATAGCTAACCACAGTTACAAAGAATCTTTCTTTACCCTTTTAGAGCAAGTAGCAGTACTAAATGATAAACTTCATGCATTGAAACCACCTAAAGAACCATTATCATAGAGGAGTTTCCAATTTTCTTTTCAGGAAAACAGATTTATGTAAAAGCATGTACAAGGGTCCTCAACCCCATTACATTGCCTTATGCAACAAATCATTCCCTTGCTAACAAGAAGCTACAAACTTCTAATATAAATCAACAATTTTTCTTTATTCTGCAACCAATTGAAATGAGATTCAAGAATTTCTGTAACCAAGAAGTTTTGGAGGTATAATCCTCTCCAAATAAATAAATAGAAGTGTGGTGATACCTTTTTATTACTGGACTTTGATCCCTCTGTATCCACGGAAAGATCATAATCTGAAGTACCCTGTGCTACAGAGTTTGTTAGATCTTCCAGCGATGCATCACCTTCTTCATTTACCCGAATACCCCTCATTGGTTGTTTTTTCTTTTGTTTATCCTTTACCTGGAAGGATAAGCAAGGACAATCAGAAAAATTCTCAAAATGGATTTAGGGTTTCTGGAACTTATTTTTTCCTAGTGTTTCATTTGGTTGACAAGGATATTCAATACATTGTAAAATAATGAAATTTGGTAACCAGATTCACGACCAACCTGGAGAGGGATTTCCTTTAATTTCTGCTCCAACTGAACATCATCTAGAAGCAAAGATACAACATCCTCAGGAGCTAAAAGATCACCACCAACAGAACCGCCAGTCATGACAAGGTTCTGTACAGTACTTTTCTGACTAGCTCTAAGAAGAATCTTCTCTTCAACTGTCTCTTTACATATAAGTCGGTATACAGTAACCTACAATGTTGAAAATGCATCTACAATTAGTTTTCAACTCAATACGTTGAGCACTTGCAAATTCCAAACGAGTAGTTTTAATGTCTAAACAAGAAAATATGTGCATGATCCAGAGAAAGGGAAGCATCAGTTCCAGATATGCAATGAAGGGAAATTCAGAGACCAATAGTTGAGATCCTAAACAAAACTGTGCAACATGACTTCCATAGAGCAAGTAGCAGGAAAAATGGAACTAACATCTTTTGTCTGACCCAGACGATGAGCTCTATCCATTGCCTGTAGATCCAAAGTTGGATTCCAATCACTCTCATAAAATATGACTGTGTCAGCAGCTGTCAAGTTGATACCCAATCCACCAGCTCTTGTACTCAGTAAGAACACAAAAATATCACTCCTACAACATATTAATAAGAAATATGAAAAACAGATGTATAACTAAATAAGTAATGTTCAGTAGTCTAACGACTCTAACCATAGTACAGAATGAAAAGATTACAGAGAAAACAGAAGGCATTACCTATGCTGAAAGTCTCTGACCATGTCTCTGCGATCCTGAATAGTAGATGATCCATCAAGTCTAAAATACCTATATTTTCTATAGTTCATGTAGTCCTGCAAAAATGATTAAATTTCTAGTCAGCATATACAAAAAGACTCAAAAGTTGAAGGCCAAGCCAAGACTTGTAGAACAGTTATGTTGCTCTATGCATAGATACTCATCATGATCCAAATGTTTCCATTTTCAAATCATTAAACATTTGAATTTAATCAGAACACCCAAGTTCCCAATTTTTGTTAAAACAAAATCGAACCAAACTCATTTAACAGCTTTAAGAGAGAAAAAAAAAATCAATACTTGCATGTGTGTGTGTACATAAACATATTTGTACATACACACATGCAACTTGTAGGCCTCCTAGTAAGATGAGTTCATGTGAGTTGTAATCACTATATTTAAGGGAAATCAATTGATGACAGAGGGCTCTTGTAATGACTAATTTTGTTCATTCATTTACGTATTTATCCTTGTTTTACATCTTTGAACATATCAGAATCATACAATCCTGGATTTACATAACCAATATCAAAAGGTTGAACATTGTAGAATGTTGAAAGTACCTCCAAAATATTCAGCATCTTGGTCATCTGAGCAAATAAGAGAACACGATGATTTTCTGCTCGTAACCGTTTCAATAATATATCAAGTGTTTGGAGCTTTCCAGAGTCCTATAATAAAAAGAAAATAATGTATATTAGAAGATTTATTCAACATGAAAGTTGTGGGAAGAGGACCATTTCATGAGAAAGAAAGAACAAAACTAAAAGCAAAACTTACAGTGAGCAGTTTTGCTGGGTCGAAATTCCGCATAGGTGGAGAAGACCCAAAAATATTGTGCGTTAATTGAAGAGCGGGCTGAGAAACAGGTAGTTCACAATCTATCTCTTGAATTAAATGATGAGGACCATCTGGCTTTCTAGGACCATTGTAATCAGATGTACGTGCAAATCCCACAAACAACCTCTTAACCCAGGGATCATGTAATTCTTCAATCATTTTATAATAGAAGTTTCTATCTGAGCAGTGAGCACCAATCTATGAAGACGAAAAGAAGAAAATGATCAATGATTAATTATCATTTTGTTTAAAAAAGAAAAAAAGTGCCACTTATTTTGGAAAAAAGAACTTAAGAGCAGATAATAGAGAAAGATAACATACTGGGGGAGCTCTACTTTGTGGGATATATGTGTAAGCAGAGTGAAGAAGCCTAGCATTTGAAAAAATCCTATCTTGGTGTGGGACAACCAAGGCCTCAAATGGTGCATGGCTGGGACCAACTGGCAATCTTTTTAGAAGAAACTGGGTCTCAGATCTCGATGGCACCAATAACATTCGTGTAACTGTTCTCACTTTATCTTTCTCAAGGTAACCACATTCTGGATCATCATCTACAGTCTCCATTAGAAAGTCTACAGCTTCGTCAATGAATTTTTGTTCATGTCTTATCATAGAAAATAACAGTCGCTCCATAAAAGAACCAGTAGCCAGAAATGTCACTTCGTGTGGAGACAAATCCATCAAATGGGTAAAACCAAAGTGTCCACTTTTAATGTACATATCTTCCGCAAAGATAGATCTATAAACATTTTCTGGTCTAAAAATATTAAAACATTTCTGAAAAGATTCTCTGGAGACACCACGACCAACAACTGAACTGGGAGTTTCAGAACTTTGCATAATTTCTTGATAGACAAGTTTTGGTATCTGAAATTTTGTCACACATAGCAAAAGCAGTAAGAAAGAAAAATAAAATAAAATAAGAGGCAAAGTTAACATAAGATAGTAGAAAAAAATAATTACAAGGGAAAAGAGAAAAACCTAAACAAAGAAAAACCAATATCAACGTGACCTGGGTCATTTATTAAATAAGTTTGAAAACTCATTCAATATACAAATATACTTCCCTTTTATAATAAAAATGCCAAAAATGGCACCAAAAACAGGTTCCATGTGCATCAAATTTTACCATCAAGGCAGTAACTTAGTACATATGGGTCACACTAACCTTGCCCTTCTAACTGGTAAGAGACGAGCTCTCCCAGCTCTAAACATGTAAGGTAGTGTGAATTGTGAAAGTGTAAAACACAACTCCATCTAAGAGTAAGACTAATACACTGATAGTTGGCGTTGACATAAATTTGTAACACATTAGCCAGAATAGATCAAGGTTTGGTGTGACATCATTAATTTACTGAGTAATGATAATCATATCACTGAGAGTAAATGAATGTTTGTAAACAATTATAAATCTATACTTGTGGCACAAATGGTTAAATGTCTCACAAGTGGTTAGAGGTTAATAGTATTCTAAGGTTATTGAAATGTCATGCCTCTATCATACGCCAGATGTACATTCTGTTATCTTCCTATTTATATGTTCTCATTGAGAAACAGTTACTTATTATTATTTTATCCTTCCATATCCTTTTTAATTCTTCTCAAATCTTGACCATCAGTCAATCAGTGTCTGTGCTACAGTCTAATACCATTAAAAAATTCTCTTTACAACAGCCATTTACTGTGGACCCATTTTGAGTCCATAAAAATTACAACCCCAACAGCTAACATTGTATCAACTAAATCATGCTAAAACTTCAATTAGTGGCCTTCTAAAATGTAATAAACCAAACTGTATCAACATTGCAACAAGTTCCTGAATCCTGAATGAACTTGCATTTTTCATAAAACAATCCTTGTTAATGGATCAAATTAGCTTTGTCTAAACTAGTCAATGATAGATTAAGCAGTACAAAAAAATCCAAATATCATACCTTGCAAAGATGTCCTACACTAAACTTGTGAACTAATAGGAATGGACAGACTTAATTCTTAAGGAACCAATGCAGATAAGTATGCAACAATACACGACAAATAAAATTGAATGTTTTGATATAGTAAATAACGTATGAGAATGAGGAAATACCTCATATGATATGGGGTTGTGACCACCAGAATAATATACATCCTCCAACTCCCCAAATGGTGGAGGTGGAAGGGAATTCGGAATGTCTCCAAAGTAAAGGTAAGTGCTTCCCTCACTCCTTTCAAACAACTCTGGATGGTTGCAAACCTATCATATTTAAATAGTAATGTTTACACCAGCACTCTTGATGAGATGAAAAAATAGATTCACACAATTAAATCACAAAAATCTTTCTTTCAGAATGAAACTGTTAATAAGAAATTTGCACTACTAAAATAAAGAACAAAGAAAAGAAAGCCCAAGTACTATGGATTGTCTACCTTTCTTAGTTGAATAACAATGTTCATTAAATTCAGAATTCTCTTCTCATTGAGCTGCCCACGATTACTATCAAACAACTCGGCAAGAGATATCTTGTTCTTAATTGCCTGATAGAAAGCCTGCTGCCGAGAACTCAGCTTACAATGCACAGTAACCTCAGTTTTTGTAGTCAGCTCAGAAATCACATCCTTTTTAACACGCCGCAGCATGAAAGGCTTTAGAATTGAATGCTGTCAGGAGAAACAAGAATTAGAACTCTAACGCAAGGGTTTAAAATTATAAAAAGAAATCTAGCAATATTAACAAAACCCATTTACAATAATTAGAACTTGGAAGCAAAAATAAAAATGAGTCACCATAGAACACATCCTATTCTAATTTTAAGACTTAAATATGTTTTTAGTCCTTATAAAATGAGCAAATTTTGATTTTGATATATGTAAAAAAAAAACTTCTCTGTTCTCATTCTTCTAAAATTTGTGACTATTATATTTAGTCTATATTATTATGTGATTATTTGTAATTATTTATTTGTTAATAAAAAGGTTAAGCAACCATCTTAGGTGTTTTGTACAACTAATGGTTATATCATTTAAGTGCGTGACACCTCTTAAAAAATTTATATATACTTAAAACAAGTGTTCTTTGTATACCTTAAAATGATTGTTAAGGACCAAAAATAGTGACTTTAGATTTTAGAGAGATGAAAACCAAACATTTTTAGCAACCAAAACTAAAATTTGTTCATTTTACAAGGACCAAAAACAATACCTACAAATTTTTAAAGGATGAAAAAAAAAATTACAAACACCGAAATCAAAATTCGCTCATTTTATATGGACTAAAAACATATTTAAGCCAAATTTTAATCATCATATCCTTGTTTTAACACAATCATAAACTTAAATATAGATTGTGAATATAACAATTCCTAAAAAAAGTAGCATCCAATAAAGGCAAGAACTCAATGAATGCACACCACTAATTTCCCGTATTGTGAAGCACCAAACAATCACCCTTCATTCCACAATATAAGCTATTTATATGCCCATGAAATTTCTAATTGGAAAAAAAAAAAACAATAACATCCTAGCCATCTCATTACTGACTATCAACAGGAAAGATAAACTTACCAATCGATTAAGTTGGTGCTCATTCAAAGTACCCCCATGTTCTGCATGGTTCTCAATTCTGACATGCGTAGATCATAAAATATAGTTAGACTATAGCTAAATAGCTAACATGTCCAAGAACTTTAAGGAGGAAATATACCCTTTAGAAAACCACTCATTAAACTGCTCATGGCTGTCAAATAAAGTTGGCATGATGAAGTGAAGGAGAGCCCATAACTCGGCCATATTATTCTGAATGGGTGTACCAGTCAACAGTAGGCGATTCCGACAATTAAAACTGAGGAGTGTCTTCCACCTTATACTGTCAAATAATTTTAAAAAGGGAAAATCACAAAAATAGATGTTAATATAATTTCTTCATTGACATGCAATTAACACAATACATACAAAAATGAAGAAGATTTAATCCTATAAAAATGCAAAATATTAAATATTAAATCAAAAAATTTCCCAAAAAAAAAAAATGGCTGGAACAAATAGATGTCATTCACTTATGCACTGCATAAACAATATTTCAGCAAACCTGGTTGCACTTTTGATTGCCTGGGCTTCATCTAAAACCATATACTGCCATTTCACACGACGAAAATACTTCTCATCGGATACTAATAGCTGGTAGCTTGTGATGAGAATGTGAAATTTAGCTTCCCTGGTAAATAAGCAAGATATTGTTACAACAGAAATAAGAGGGATGAAAATAACAAACCAAAAGGATAAATTACAAATGGAGCTTACTAATGGTAGGTGACAGCCAAAGCATTGCATTAGATATTAGCCTCACAATTTCAAAGGTTAAAAAACAAGATGGTTCTATGCAAAAGTGTAGTATTCATACTGACCAAATACCACCACCAAGAGAAAGGGGGTTCCACCATTGACATCCTTTTTTTACTTTCTTAAAAAACCGACTGTTTTGTTTGTTTAACAATAACTTAAAAGTGAGAAAACCATCATTTCATATCAATCACAAAGTTCCACCAATTAGAAAAAGCTCCTAATTTTAAGGAACTTTAAAATTTTTCAAAATATACTGCAGTTATTACATTAGATTTTGTCCTTTACAAGGACCAAAATCAAAACTTCTACATTTTACAGGGACTAAAAACATATTTAACCTTCTTAAAATATCATATCCCTATGATTGTGTGTTATTATCTGACTAAAAACATTGCTCACTTTCCCAGCACAGAATATCCACTTAAGTTAATTAAAAAAATTAAATAAATGAACAGAAAATTTCAAAATACAAAATTCTATTGAGAAAAAGAACCTTTCCTGAGCATAAATTTTTACTTCTTTATGGATCACACCACCTGGAGGCTATATTAATTTCTTTTTTCAGCAATCTACCTTGCCCCCTTACTGGGCAGGTAACACTGAATAAAAATGAAAATACTCCAACATTTTTCCAGCCTATTTTCAACTTTGCCTTACAAAATTCACCATCATTACTCATAGGTTCATTCAATATTCTTGGTGAAAATCAAAAGTTGCACCAGTAAATTATCATCTTTCCCTTCATAAATCAATTTTCATAGGAAATCGGAAATCCTTATTTTCACATTTTTTTCTACAACACATGAATAAGCATAAAAAAATGCAAAAGAAATTAACATTACCTACGATAAAGATCCTTTGGGTTAATACTTTTCCGAAGTACTGTCCGCTCTGAAAGCCCACCCCAGTATGGAAGTCGTTTCAGTTCAGGGCAGAAGCGCTCAAGTTCCTCATTCCAATTATTTAATACAGAAGCAGGTGCAACAACTAGAAAAGGTCCCCATATATTTTTTTCCTACAAGGGACAAACAAGTTACAACAAAGTCAAAAAGAAAAATGTACCAAAACAGGTGGATGAATAGCTACCTCAGCTAAATGGGCCAAAAAAGCCATAGCCTGAATCGTCTTTCCAAGTCCCATCTCATCTGCTAGAATACCATTTAAACCCTGAAAGATATCAAAAGCCTTCAAATTAACAACCAAATGAAATAAATCATTGAGAATTTATCAAGGATTGCTCAACAACCTGCTCATAACAATTAACTAGCCACTGAAGACCTTTCAGCTGATATTCTTTAAGAACCCCTTTAAATAATTCAGGTGTCCGAACCGTGGATGCAACTGGCATGGTAGAGCTGCAACATAACAATACAAAAAATTTAATATGAATGAATACAATATTGCTTAACTCACCCTCAATATTATCCAGATGAACATCAACAAGTTGCATATGTACATTTAAACACGTCCATGTAGTATAGAAGTGCATATACACAGCAACAAATAAAGAGAGAAGAAACTCACGGGGTTTGCAAATCAATATTACTCGCTCCAGCAACATCTGGTGGAAGTGAATCAGTTTCACCAGCTTGGCGCAGCCTCAAGCATTCAGTGTCAAAAGCACTTGTCAGCCTTCTCTGCTTAGAAACTGCTTCTTGTGCAGCCTTCAAAGCTTCCATCTTCAGTTCAGCCTCTTCAGGATCTTCCTCCTCGTCGGGCCTAGCATCTGAAGAGTCAATCAGCGCCTCTTGATCATTTGTTTCCTCATCCACCTTGGGTAAAGTTTCTGAAGATAGTAAATTTGACTTGTTCTGCATAAAGTGACTGTACAGCTCAGTTTGTTGTATAAGAAAATTAAGCCTTTGCTGCTGCCTCTTTGCCTCTCGAAGTTCCTGTTCACGCCTCAAAGCTTCAGCAGCTTCTTTTTCCTCCCTCTTCCTCACTTCTGTCTGCAAGGAATGAAATTGAAAAATTACAGCATATTCAAGTCTAATAATGTACAAGTGAAAATGTACACTAGCATGAAAATATTCAGATTTGAAAGATAAATCCAAGAACACATTGTGGTATCTGCATGTCTACTGAGTAGACCACCCATTTTACATCAAGACCAACAATGGGTCTGATATCTATTAAAAAACAATCCCAATTATTTTTTCTATCTCAAAAAGACAAAAACACCTAAATTGAGAAGCTTATACCCAAAATTAAATACCAAAATTACCACCTGGATAAATCATTTCCACTACATTTAAAAATATGAGACATGATTTCAATAATCTCAGTGATAAGAGATTACGCGACTATAATCCATTAGATAAACATGCTTCAATCAAATACATGCGACAGACGCAAGTAGGTAAAACCTATTATCAACTATGATGCATGAAACTTGTCACCAAAAGTAAAAGTAGAGCATAAGGGAGAGTAAGCACATCATGTTACACTAAAGGTCACCATAATCACATAAAAAATATATGACTTCTTCAAATAGGCTGTCTTCCAGAGTTCAATATCCAGCACCATAAAATCAATAAATTTCAGGAAGGAATTAAAAAATACCATCTCCTTATCTATTCGTTTCCAGAACAGCAACATGTCTCTAGCTAGTTTCCGGGTGCGCATACTAGCAGTCCTTGTCCATTTAAGGGATCTACTAACTTTCATTCTAACCTGAAAGAAAAATAGGTCCATATAAATTATAAGTTATTGTAGACAAACTGCCAAATACAGAACCTACCATTAAAATCTTTAGACTACACAACAAGATTCTAGATACACCCCAAATCAATACAAAATATAACAGATGGAGAATGTATTTAAGGAGGGAAATAGGAGCCTGCCTCTCTTTGACAAGTCTCTGAGACCCTCTTCGCATCGATGAGCTGCTTTCGATGAAAAGTAGTAAAGTTCCTATGATGCTTTGGTATGTCTCTTCTTACAATATTTACCCAAATTTTTCCACATCTTTCCATTTCCTCCTTCTCTATCAGAGCAGGGTCTTTCTTCACTTTCTGCTTCTTAGGTAGGCTTCTTTCAATGATCTGAAGCAGTCAAAAGAAAAGGCTAAATGATTAAAAATAAAAAAATAAAAAAAATAGAGGGGGATGTAGAGGGAAAAAACCTCAGTTCATATTATATGATAGATACCTCATAGGTGTCACCTTTCTCCAAAACCTTCACATAATAAACCTGCAATACACCACCCTCAGACAAAATAGATCGTCTTATGCTTCCTGCTGCCCCCTCTGGAATGGAGGAATTCAAACCAGCATCAGATACTTTCAGACCAAATTTATGAGCAGAATTAGAAGCTGACATGACCCTCAGCCGTGCCTGCAGTGATTCATATTGGGGTATTGCCTCCCCCATGCCTGCTCGGTTTCTGTTCCCAAATCTTTTATCAGCTGCCATCATTTCAGCCAAGGAGCCCAAATCCAAGGTACCCTTTAAGTAAAAATCCTCAACATGGATATCTGAGAAGCTTGGGAGGTTCAGAGCTCCAGCCAACTTATCATAGATTGGAGGAATCCGGTAAATGATTCCATCCCCAATATCCAAAGATGCAGGTTCATACATAATCCTGAAAGGAGTTCAAGACCGCAAGGTAATTTTCAACTTAAACAATGGTTCATGATTCAAAAACTCAAACACCATAAAAAACAACAGAGCAGGAAAGGCAAACCTATCAGTGCCATATTGCTGTGTGAAATCTGCATCGCGGTAATTTCCTGGTTTCTGAGAACTGGAATCATTCATCCATTCCAATGTATTCTCCGCAGCATGTAATCCTCCCCTGCGCTCATTCCCAGACTTGCGAGCTTTTGACCCCGTGCTGGTTTTCACAAGTGAACCAGCAGCCTGATTTTGGGCAGGAATG